ACTTAAGCTGTTTCACTAGTATGACCAAGGAAGCTCATATCAAGTTGACCCTTCTGCAAATAACAACTATAAACTCTGGATGAAATGCAAGAAACAATGATGACACCAGAGAGTAAACAAAATCAGACAGACTCTGGAGGGAAGTTGGCACTTGTACATGAGTTTCCTATTTTTTTACAGCTTTTAGCTTGAGAGAAATCTGCAGTTGGCAGGAGTATGAGGTGGGCAAAATTCTCATATAAAACATACCATCTTCCATATTGGAAGAATAAGAATACAGAGTTCTGGACAACTAGAGTCCCTCAACAGTGAGGGGGAGATCACCCCAAAAAAGAGAGAGTCAGAGAAATAGAGCCCAGATCCTGTGAATAAACTTTACACAAATCTGATTGGCCTTGAGCCACATGTGTACAAAGCCGTCTAGCTAAGTAAAAAAGAACTGAACTGAGATTTCAACTGCTGCTCAAGAGACAAAGTTTATGGTTTGAATCTAACCAAATTAATTGTCTGCTTAAAAAAATAAAAAGTATTCAGCATATAGTAGAATCCAGATTCTCCACAACATAATAGTCACAACATCCAGGATCCAATAGACAATGGCTTGACATATGAAGAATCAAGAAAATGTGATCTATTCTCAAAAGAAAAGATAAGTAGAGGAGGCCTGTTCTACAATGCTGCAAATGTGGAATTAGCAGACAAGTATTTAAAAACAGGTATTATAACTATGGTCAGTGATGTAAAGGAAAATATTATCTCAATGAATGAAAAGGTAGAAAATCTCAGGTGAGAGATTATGTATAAAAAAAGAACCAAATGGAAATTCTGAAATTAAAAATTGCAAAATCTGAAATGTAAACATCACTGGATGGATTTAGAGCAGAACAAAAATAAGAAAGAAAAGAATCACTGAATATGAAGATAGACCAATCAAAATAAGGTAATCTAAAAATAAAAGAGAAAAAGTATTGGTGAAGAATGTGAAGATTGACTCGAAGGCCTGTAGGACAATATCAAAAGGTCTAATACACATAGAGTTAGAATCTTAGAAGGAAAGAAGATGGAGAGAAAATGGAGCAGAAAAACTATTCGAAGAAATAATGGCTGAAAAAAATTAAAATTTGGTAAAAGACATGTAATTACAGATACAAAAAAGCTTAGCAAATACCAAGTAGGGATACATACGAAAAAAACCACTCCTGGCCATAAAGCAGTAAAAGTTCTGAAAGTGAAAGATCAATACAAAGGCCTTCAAAAGGGCAGAGAAAAAGGACATAACACATGTGGAGGAACAATAATTTAAATGATTGTTGATTTTCATGAAAAATTTCAAAAGCCAGTATAGTGGAACATTTATATAAGGCTAAAAGGAAAAAAAACCCACGAATAGGTTCTCTCAATGCAGAATTCTATATCCAATGAATTTAGCCTTCAATTAAAAAAAATAAAGATGTTTTAAAGATAAAAGACAACTAAGAGAATTGATTGCCAGATTTGTACTGTAAGAAATACTAAAAGAAGTACTTCAGGCTGAGGGACATGACATCAGACAGAAATGTGAAGCTACAGAATGAATAAAAAGTATCAGGAATGATAAACATCTGGGTAGATAAAAGGGATAGTTTTGTCTTTAAGAAGAAATACATATTATCGTTTAAAGTAAAAATTATAACAATGTCTCCTCGGCTTTACAAAAGTATGTAAATATAATACATATAATGATGATAGCTTAAAGGCTGAGGGAGTAAATTAATCTATTTAGTTGCAGTGTTTCTATGTGTTATGTGAAGTAATACAACATTAACGCCAGGAAGACTATGAAAAATTAAGAATGTATATTGTAATCACAGAGTAACTACTAAAGATAATGCATAGTGTTTTAATTTTAAAATACAAGAGATAAATTAAAATATAATTTTAAAATATTCAAATAATCCAAAGGCAGGCAGGAAAAGAACAAGAGAAACAAAGTAGAGGTGACAAATAATAAACAAATAATAAAATGGTAGACATATATCAAACCACATCAATACGTACATTATATGTTAATGGACTAGTGCTGCAATTAAAAGGCAGATACTGTAGGAATGAAAAGAAGTAAGATCCAGCTATACGCTATCTTGAAAGGATGCACTTTAAATATAAAGACCCAGGCTGAAAGTGAATGGATGAAAAGAGATACACTAGGCAAACAATAAGAGTAAGAAAACTAGAGTGGCTAAATTGATATCAGATAATGTAGACACCAAGACAAAGATTATTACTGGCCTGGCGTGGTGGCTCACACCTGTAATCCCAACACTTTGGGAGGCCGAGGTCAGCGGATCACGAGGTCAGGAGTTCAAGGCCAGCCTGGCCAAGATGGTGAAACCCCATCTCTACTAAAAATACAAAAATTAGCTGGGCATGGTGGCAGGTGCCTGTAATTCCAGCTACTTGAGAGGCTAATGCAGAGAATTGCTTGAACCAGGGAGTTGGAGCTTGCAGTGAGCCGAGATTGCGCCACTGTATTCCAGCCTGGGCGACAGAGCAAGACTCCATCTCACCAAAAAAAAAAAAAAAAAAGATTAGTAAGGGACATTTCATAACAGTAAAATCACCAATAGGACACAATAATCATAAATGTATATACACCTAATATTAATGCTTCAAAGTACATAAAGCAGAAATTGGCCTAATTAAAATAAGCGGACAATTCCACAATTATATGAGATTTTTAACTCTCATTTCTTAGCAACTGTTAGACAAAAAATTAAAAAAAAAAACAAAAATGATTTAAAGCTAATTGTTACTTATGGAACACTACACCCACCGTCTGAAAAACATTCTTTCGAAGTACATATGCTATCAAGATAGAGCATGTACGATAGGCTATAAAAATTAAGTAACACTTCTAAATAATCCCTGGGTCAAAGAAAAAATTAGAAAATTTGAAAATATTTTGAATTTGAACTCTGATTTTGACATTTAAAATATACTTAACCTTGGACAACTGATTGGGATTGCTGAGTGTCAGTTTCTTCTTCAATAAAGTAGAGATATTAACCTTCACTGGGTTATCGTGAAGATTAAATGAAATAATGTATGTAAAGCACTTAGCATAACTTCTGGCATAATAATGATACTTAATGTCGTTGTTCATAATGAGAAGCCATGACTGAGGGTATATGGGCACACTTACAGGGTCTCCTGCTACTTCCATCATTCTGTCTTTGTTTTTTTTGGTGGGGGAGGGTCTCTAACCAGTTGGATGGTATTAATAAGATCTCTCTCTCTCTTTTTTTTTTTTTTTCTGGGGCATCGCTCTGTCACGCAGGTTGTAGTGTAGTGGCACAATCATAGCATACTGCAGGCTCTAACTTCTGGGCTCAAATGATCCTTCTGCTTCAGCCTCCCAAGTAGCTGGCACTGCAGGAATGTGCCACATTCAGCTGATTTTCTTGATTTTTGGTAGAGACAATGTCTCACTATCATAAATGTTGCCCAGGCTGCTCTCAAATTCCCAAGCTCAAGTGATCCTCCCACCTTGGCCTTCCAAAATGCTAGGATTATGGATGTGACCCGCTGTGACCAGCTGATCATTCTGTCTTTCACTACTACCCAAGAAGACCATGCTGTATCATTCTACTCTTTATATTTCTTTGTTGATAAATGATCCCGCCCTATCTGATTTAATTTTTATCTCCTTACTGTGTAACATTACACAGTGGATTTATGTAGACACACAGGAGATTTATGCATCCTTTGAATCCAAATCTTGAGTTGAGGACAATGCTTCCATCCTCAGGCCCCCATTCAGCCTGGGTGTCTGTCTTCAGTACCATTGTTGACAAGACGCCAGTAGCCCATCTCCTAAAACTTGCAATTTGAGACTTCGACTTCATCACGCTGGTTCTCCATTTCCCAGATATCAAAAAGCAATTTGGAAAATGAAGAACCATGATTATCTTCTATTTTTTTTCCTAACTCAATTGTACAAATTCAGCAATGATTTTCATGTACTCTGTTTCTTGAAGTATCTCTTTTTAAATGCTTATAATAATAACTACCTCACAGGAACCTTGGTGTCTAATTAATTATTGTTTGTCAAAAGCTTTAGGATCTTCAGCTGGAAAGGGGATTGGGGAAGCACACAGTGTCATCTTGGAGAGCTCTGCATCTTGCTATATTGAATGGAGCTAGTGTCTCTGTGTAATCAAATTGACCACACTGCTAGGGCTTACACTGTAATTAATGAAACCCGTGCAGACTCAATGAAGTGAACAGTCTATTATTTTTAGATTGAATAATTAAGCCTGAAGAGCTTCAGTGCTTTTTCCAATAGCTTCCTTTTTTTCAGATGACTATTGACATTTTGGTTCTCAATCTCATTTCATTGTGTCAACTCGGTGTGTGTCCATTTATCTCATGTCATGCAGAATTCATTATAATACCAAAAATGCTGAATCTTTACAAATGTATTTTTTAAAAAGAACTAAGGCCTACCTTAGAAACAAACTCAACATAATAAAAAAGTAAGGGGAATGGTATGCATTTTATTAAGGGCCTGCACTGTGTCAGGTACTATGTGGGTACCTTACATATTCAACTTCATCTAATTTTTTCCGAGCCACAAAGTGAAGCTGGTCTAATCTCCATTTTATGGATGAAGAAAGTAGCTCGAGGAGGTAAACTTATTTAAGGATACCAGCAAGCAAGGGGCAGAGGCAGTATTTGAACCCACGCCTCTCTAATTCTAAAATTCACACTCTTTCCACGAGTAGCAGAGGCCTGTCTCTGTGCCCATTCAAGAAAGTATGTTATTCTGAGCCATTGGGACATACCTTGAGAGTCTTGTTGTGTCTCTGCAGCTCCCGGCACAGACTCTCCAATTTGCTTCGAGCGAGGATAGCTCTGCTGTGTTCACCTTGTAACTGGTCCTTTTCTTTTTGAATTTGTACCTGTTTCTTTTGGAGGAGCTTTAACTTCTTTTGCTCAGTACGATGTTCATCCAGCTGTACACATGGAGATACAAACATGAAAGAAAATGGCAGGGATCTCCTTGGAGTCGATAGAAAAAAAGCAAACCTAAAGATTACTCTATGGTTGTTTGGAAACATTCTTTGCTATTATCTCTTCCTCTGGAAGTAAATGAAATTCATAAGTGTCACCTTTGTAGTACTTGAAGGTATAGTTTTCAGAGCACAGCATTGATAGGTTTTTCATTATTACTAGTCTCTTTTTACTTTGATCTATTTTTGGATGGTCTAGAAATATTTTTCCTGAGTCCATCTAACCAATATTGAATAGCCAGACAAAATCGAAAGGCATGCCTTGGAATCTGTAAACTGCCAGAGTTCATGACGATGCCTTGCATTGAGGCAGTGATCAACAGTCTGTCTGCCTGGGTTGCATTTAGTTCGCGTAATTCTTCCTTGAAACAAGCTTCTATCACTAATTTTAAAAATAGGAAAGAGAAATGCAGCCTTCTGGTAAACAGAAGATGAAGTCCTCTTCTTTATAATTTTGGGCTCTGAGTGTGGATTGTTTGTGTGTGGGAAAGGAGAAGAGAAAGTATCCTTCCACTACCTAAGTATTGACGGGTTTTCACCAAACCATCAGAAATAGCTACTGCATGATTCAACAGCATGAATAGCAAATATCTGTAACATGCCTTGCTGCTCCCCACCCACACCCGCCCTGTGCTTATAACAAATAGATCATTCTGCTGGTTTCTGCTGAGTCCAGGTGAACTCTTCTCGTGTTCCTCCAGCAGCCACAAATGCCCTGGAACATGAAATCAACTTACTACTGTACTTTCCATCTTGGATGCTGAAGTTCTAGGATAGGATTGTCAGTAAAATGCAGGACACCCCATTAAATTTAAATTTCAAATAAACAAGAAATAATTTTTAGCATAGGTTTTAATATATTCCAAATATTGCATGAGACATATTTTTGCCAAAAAGTTATTTGTTGTTTATCTGAAATGTAAACTTAACTGAGTGTAATGTATGTTTATTTGTTACATCTGGCAACATTATTATGGAGTTCTAGACCTGGTGTGGGGAGCATGGGGATAAACCTCAGAAGCCTCCAGAGAGAGATCAGTGGACTCTAGGAGTGTCGATCTCAGACTGACCATCGCTGGGGCCACATTCAAGCAGCAGCCGTTTGTCCCGAGCCATTTCCTCCACTGGCCTTAGTTCCTGTAGTGCCCAGATGGTGATGAAGTCAGGTAAGTACTAGTCCTAATAACGACTTTGTTGATGAACAGAAAGGAAAAGCCCTGGTTCTTCTGGACCTCAGGTGTTCTGGTGCCTCACAGAGCCTAATGCAAATGGATACAGATGCCACATGAGCGCTGACATGTGTCTCAGTTTCCCCATTTTAAAAAAGCCATTGGGGCCAGGCGTGGTGGCTCATGCCTGTAATCCCAGCACTTTGAGATGCAAGGCAGGCAGATCATGAGGTCAGGAGATCAAGATCATCCTGGCCAACATGGTGAAACCCCATCTCTACTAAAAATACAAAAATTAGCCGGGCGTGGCGGCGCACACCTGTAATCCCAGCTACTTGGGAGGCTGAGGCAGGAGAATTGCTTGAACCAGGGAGATGGAGGTTGTAGTAAGTCGAGATTGTGCCACTGCACTCCAGCCTGGGTGACAGAGCAAGACTCCATCTCAAAAAATCATAGTAATAAATAACAAATAAAAAGCAGTTATTCTTTCTGAGTGAGATGAACACCTGTCACACTTTCTTCAGTTCACATTTTATATCTTTCCTCTCTCCCTCCTGCCACCCTAAAATAAGCATTTTAAACCCTTGCCAGATAAAACTAAGGCTATGTATATATGATATTCTATCTCCAAACTTACATGCAATTTCTAGCTACTAGTGGAAATTAGCATTGTAAAAACAAGACCCATATTACTAAAAATATTGGTTGAAATAGATATGCTCCTTGGAAAATAAATAATCTGTTATTTCTCATGCTAAGCTTGCTCATAGATGTGATCCTTTCATTTTGCACCATAGTTATAAGATAGGCATGAAATTTCTTGCACATATATTTTGATTTTAAATGACTATTGTCCTTTCTTGAAATTTATATATTGTAGATCGGGCATGGTGGCTCATGCCTGTAATCCCAGCACTTTGGGAGGCTGAGGTGGGCGGATCACCTGAAGTCAGGAGGTCGAAACCAGCCTGGCCAACACGGTTAAACCTCGTCTCTACTAAAAATACAAAGATTAGCTGGGCCTAGGTGCGGGCGCCTGTAATCCCAGCTACTTGGGAGGCTGAGGCAGGAGAATCGCTTGAGCCTGGGAGGCGGAGGTTGCAGTGAGTTGAGATCGTGCCACTGCACTCCAGCCTGGGTGACAAGAGCAAAAAAAAAAAAAAAAAAAAGAAACGAAATTTATATATTGTTATTATTCTTGCCATTCTGGTTTAGACTTTACTTTCTGAAGATGAAACCTATATCAGGGTTTCTGAACCCCAACACAAGTAACATATTGGGCCAGATAATTTTTTGTGGTTGGGGCTATCCTATGCCTTGTAAGTTGTTCAACACCATCCCTGGCCCCTACCTGCTATATGCCAGTAGCACTGCCCAATTGCAACACCCCAAAATATCTCCCAACAGACATGCCTATTGTTGCCTGGTGGACAAAACTGTCCTTGTTTAGGGAACTCTGCACTGTGTGGCTTTATCTGAGTGTCAGGAGGAAGACGCCCTATAGGTGTTTCATAAGTTGAAAGAGAAATGATTTGTGCTTGCTCATTATCCATTTAATGTTTTATTTTTATTTTTAATTTTAATTTTTTTAGAGACAGAGTCTTGCTCAGTCACCCAGGCTGGAGTGCGGTGGCACAATCACTGATAGTTCACTGAAGCCTCAAACACCTGGCTTCAGTCATCCTCCTGCCTCAGCCTCCTGAGTAGCTGGGACAACAGATGCGTGCCACCATGCCCAGCTAATTTTTTTTGTAGAGATGGGTTCTCGCCATATTGTCCAGGCTGGTGTTGAGCTCCCGAGTTCAAGCAATCCGCCTGCCTTGGCCTCCCAAAGTGCTGGGATTACAGGCACGGGCCACTGTGCTCAGTCTATTTTGTTTCTAATATTAATCAAGATAATACACCAGAACTTTCCTTTATATTTTAAAAAGTTTAAATTATTAACAAAGTAATTCAGCCAATATTCAAGTGATTCTTGGCATCGAAGACAATGAAAATACACATTCCCTGCCCTCTGGGTTCTTACTGCACAGCTTCAGTCAAATGCAGGCTTTGCGATTTTACTTAGGCATAGTCCTTCTGTACAATTGTAATAGGCATATAGAATGTCTGTCTGTAATTTCTCTTGTTTTCTTTCTCTTTTTTACTAAGTTAAAAAGTAAAATTATTGCTAAGTACTAAATTAAAATCCTATTACTGATGTTGTTTTAACTACATAAGAAACGAGGAAATTAAATGCAAAAAATATTTCTCCCAGGCCATTTCCTAATTTAGTCATGAAGTGTCCTTACTTATTAATGAGCTTATCTTTATTTATTAATGAATACAATGTCAGGTAATATTACAGGATTTAGACTCTGCAAGGATGAGTGAGCTAGAGTGGCAGTTTGATTCACAGCTTTGAATTTGATGATTTATTCCATGTGAACACTTATATTTCAGTCGTTTTCTATATTAATATCCAAATCAGTGAGCAAGGAAATAGGCTTTAGTCTCCACGTAAAAAAATTGAAATTCCTCATAATTTTTCTTTTCTGAAAAGGAAATGTAATAGGTTTTTTGGGTCAATTTTCTCCTATTCATTTTTTCTAGGATGACCTCTCGGGTTTGAAAGTTTATTACAAGAGATGATACAAATGCCAAAGTATAGCAAGTAAGGCTTGAATTGAATATGGTCTCTGGAAAAACAATCTCTTGTTTATTGGGGGTGACTGCTTTGGTAGGAGGATGAGTAGGTACAGGGAGTTCCCTGAGACCAGGATGAACAACACTGGCTCATGGAGAAAATATCGGTAAGTCTGAAAAAGTGATGCTTCCCCAATGTACTGCCGTGGGACTGCAGCACCATACATCACTTCCTGTATTAGTCTAGAATGCTGCCCAGTCCCCTCAAGTATAGAACATGGCGCTGGAAATGAAACATGAATGGCCTTGGTATGTGTTGGTAAATTGAAGGGGCAAAGGAAAAACGACTCAGAAAATACTAAAAAGAGCAAGGATGGATAGGTGAGAATCGCATGGAAATGTGAGAGTGGGGGCCAGATTTGGAGAGAAAATATTATTTTTGACACCTAACTTATGGTATTGAAATTCTTAATAGCCAGTGCAATACAAGTTGCAAGAAAATTGATACACTGATACTTGCTTTGTGAGTTTCTACTGCTCTTTTGGGAAGCAATATGGCCATAAAGTTTAAAAACCAGAAAGCACTCATCTTGTTTAATTTGGTAATCCTATTTCTGGAAATTTTTCTTAAAATCATAAAAAAGAAGGAGAAAAAACAAAGCTGATACGTGATGATGTTCATTGCATAAATATTTGGTAAAGCAAAATAGTGAGAGGAATTTAAATATCTTCAAATTATTGAATCAGTAGATACAGCCACTTAACGGAATATGATACAACCTTTACAAAAAATATTTATGAAGACTATATATTATATGGAAAAATGCCTGTCATGTACAAAACCAGACATCAACTTATATGTACCTTATGACTGTAATTATAATTAAAAGCATCTCTGCATATACAGCAGAATAGGAAAAGAATACGCATAAAACAAAGTTTGTATTTTACATGAGGGATTAGAGGTATTTTTATTTTGTGTATTCACCACTATATATATTCATAATGTAGTTTGTATGTCTAAAAAATAATCTAAAAATATTGTTGGCAGAGTTAAGTAATCAGCCAGTCACTTAGAATTTCAGAATTTTTCTGGATCTATTGCATAATAATTCAGCATAACAGGATGCATCAGGTAGAAGGACAGAAAGATTACAGGACTAGATTCAGAGTGAAAAACAAAGAAAACAAGTCACTCACTGAAGTGTACTCCATCTACAGGGATGAAGAGTTTGTGGGCCTGAAGCTTATTCAGTTTTGGAGGCCCTCTTAAAAAAAAAATTAAAGCGAATTAGGCCCCGGGCCTCAAAGGGGTCCATGTAAGTGAGATGTCCTGAGGTTTAAGCTTCCTTAGCTGCAATGGTAAATCTACTGTTGGGGGCAGTTCAACCTACTGTCTGGAGGAATTTTTTGCTATATGGAGTCTTAAGTTTCATTCTCCTGTCACTGTTTCTTCAAAAGAAATAACTGAAAGAACTTGTATTTTGCCCCAAACTACTTTTTATTTGCAACTACATGATTTCATGCAATTCTTCTAAACAACAAGGACACAAAATAGACTTCTTTGTGTATAAATAACTTACATATGCCCCATATAGTACATGTTGAAAGTTGCTAGAACAGCTCTTCCACTCCTATAATGTTCTGGTATCCAACAGTGTTGATGCGCAATATATAAATGCCAAGTCCAAGATTAAAAACTCAGGCAACTGACTAACTTTTAAAAAGTTCCCCAAACTATGTCAATATATCTAAAATGTATATATATACATTTTAAGAAAGATTATTCTCAATAAGTTCTATAAAAATAAGTTCAATTGTTTGGTCCATCTAACTTCACTACTATTAGTATGAGCTTTCAGTCTACAGTAAGATTTATTTTACCTTTTTCTCAACGTGACACCAACACAATCAAAAGGAGCTAGTGAGGTGCTAACATGTGAGAATCAGCCCAGTGATTCTGGTCACAATGCATTTCAGGAAGAGGAACCCATGTCGCTGGGATTGGGTGATATGGTTTATTTTCCTTCCCTGATTTGGATAACCAAATGGAACAGATAGAGATTCTGATGGGAATTCCTTCAAAAGAATTTTTGTAGAAGCAGAAATAAAGGAGAAGGTTACTGCCGAGCTTTATTGGAGAGGATGCCACATCTGAACTGTGGGTCTCATAGTCTGCAGGGTTAGCACGCAGACCTCAGATGTTGGTCTTTTTTTTTTTTTTTTTTTTTGTGGCGGAGTCTCGCTCTGTTGCCCAGGCTGGAGTGCAGTGGCCAGATCTCAGCTCACTGCAAGCTCCGCCTCCTGGGTTTACGCCATTCTCCTGCCTCAGCCTCCCGAGTAGCTGGGACTACAGGCGCCCGCCACCTCGC